CGTTTGTAATGTCAAAATAACAGCTTTTTACTAAATGCATATGAAAGTATATACGGTACATATAACAAAAATATAATTTTAAAATTTTTGTCTGTCTGTTTGGTCAGACTAATCTACGAAACGGCGGGACAGATTTTGACGGGACTTTCACTGGCAGATAGCTAATATTATAAGGAGTAACTTAGGCTACTTTTTTTTTTTAAATCTATAAAATCTAATCGTAAAAAATTACATGCGGACGAAATCGCGGGGCACAGCTAGTAGTAGAATAAATTTCTCAATAAAACTCTCGTACTCTTGATCCCTTTTCAGATAAGGTTACGAAGCAAGGAAGTCCGCCGCTACCCATCTAGCTAACGAGAAATATAAACTTCCGAGAAGTCTGCAGTCTGTGACCACATCGGCAGCCGCCATTACATTGAATGTTATAAAAAAACAACGAAATAACGATTTCTACAGAGGATGATTAGTGTGGCTATTGAAATTAACCAAAATACATCCAAGACATATTGTTTAAATAAAAAAATTAAAGCTCAACTTCCGAATGAATTAATAATTATTTTTCTTATTTTCAGTTGTTTGAAGTCGGCTTTTACTTTTCTACTGACTTAGAAAAGGAGCCGGCACTCAATTCGACTGAATGTTTTGTTTTCGTGTGTTACCTCATAACTTTTTACTGGGTGAACCGATTTCGACGATTCTTTTTTTATTTGAAAGCTGGTGCTTCACATGTTGCCCCATATAAATTTGATCGAGGTTTGATTAGTAGTTTTTGAGTTATTCGTTATAATTTATATTCTAGTCGGTCGTACAAATTTTTTAATTTTAAATTATAATTAACAAGTTGATTTTGTTTCAGTTAGTCACACTGGAATAGTTGTTCTTTCGCGAATTTTTGTTATCTATCAATTCCGAAGTAATGTAAATAATTTCTTTTACTTGTTTGAAGTCAGCTTTTACTTTTCATTAATTATTATTTTTTGTTGACTGGCAGAGAATGCCGTCAGGCATTAAGTCCGCCCATTGTTACGTGTTAGAGCCAAGCTGCAATATTAAGGCTGTAGCACGAATGGGTCGGCTCGACCGGGGAAGCAACACGCTCTCACAGAACACCAGCGTAAAAAAGCAGCTTAATGCTGCTGTGTTTCGTATGATGAGTGTAGAGAACTGGAGACCCTTTTCACTGGAAACGAGACATTCCATCTTAATCCTCGGGGGTGACAACGCATCCGCATTTTGATTCTTAATCGAAGATAAATGTAGATGTCTATGGGTCACAGCGTCCACTTACCATTAGAAGGACTGTGTGTTCGTTTGTACCCTTATTCTATAAAAAAAAAAACCGTAGTTGTTAGGTGTTACAATAAATAATAGAATAAGTTTTTAACGTTTTGAGTAGAATAAGGAATATCAAAATCTCAATGTCGTCTAAATAGTTCTATTAAAAACTTTATCCTCTATTTTGACACCATTAGGGCTGAAATATTTACTCCAAACTTATGTGGAACCACCTATTAAATAAAACAAGGATCATCAAAATCGGTCCACAGTTGACGAAGATATGACGCAACATACAAAAACAAAAATACATTATCTAAAAAATACATCCGATTTCTACCAAGGAGGATTCGCGAGGCTATTGAAATAAAAAGAAATTTATTTATTTATGCTTTATTTGCACACCAAGTACAAAAAGGCGGATTTAATGCAACAGGACATTCCCTACCAGTCTACCTCCAGGCTAAGAAGAGAAGATATATCTGAAGGAGAGAAGATCACTGGGTACTATCATCTACTTGAGATCTCATAATTAATAAAATTAAATCCAAACCCAAGCGTATTTCCTGTAAGACTTCAATATACTGTAAGCGTGTTCTGCGTAGATCGGACCAAATATTAATATTTAAGAGTTCATGGTAGCCTTTGTCAACTATGAGATCAGGGCGTTAAACCCCTGTCTCCCCGAGACCATGGGTGCTGCATGTATGCCCGATGCGTGGGGAATTAAAAAGTTACGATGAAACGCGGTATAATCCGTAAAATTAAGTTTTAATTCAATTTCCCGATGACGGTCTTGATAATGATTATGATGACGATGATGATGATGATGATGAAACATTGTATGGTTTTATAATACATTTTTTTTTCAATTGTAAACAGTTAATTGAGGGCACGGCAGTCTTACACACGAAGACCATGGGTGCTATAAAGTCCCCGAAACGTCGCGAATTAAATATGTTAGGATTAAACGCGGTAGAAATCCGTAAAATTACAAATCTCTCGTCTTAATAATGCTAAAAAGTGAACGGTTAACTGACAGCACGGAGGAGTCTCACACACGAATTTATTTGTTTTAATTCTTTGAGATATACGAAAACTGTCGTCATACTTCGCATGGGACGGATGTCAAAAGATAAATTATTTATATCGTTGTTACACTCAGTGCCCGCGCCTTTCACAAACAATAATAATAAACAACTTAATTAGTCTGTGAAAAATGTGATAGTTACACTGTTTGCGAATTCATAATAAAATGTTTTTTTTTTTCGATCGTAAGTTTTTAAATGGGCTGCAATGGGAATATATGCCACCTTTCTTGATCATTTTTTACGTAGCATAATATTATATCTGACTCGACACGATCGAGAGAAAGGATCACTTGTTGTTGTCTCTCTCGGTTGTCTAGCTCGGTCGTTTGGGCACCGCGCGACATCTTTTTTTTTTTAAAGGGAGAATGCCTACGCATACCCGCCTAGCGGTGGCAAGGGCGGGTTATGTCGGACTCGCACCGACTAACCCCATGGTGTTCCACCTTCGCCGTATATTGGCAGGCAAGGCAACGGGAACGTTTTCGCACATACCAGCACCGGCCGCCCCAACGCAGCCCCTTGGGAAAGTCTTCTCCTTTCCCTTTTCTCCGCGCGACATCAATATATTGTTAAAAAACTATTCTTCAAAATTCTTGCAGCCCGGATATCCTCTAATGCCAGAAATATCTTATGGCTTCCAACAAAATAATGGCAGATAACCATCTAATTTACGGTACCTACACGTAAAATATCCATGCAGCCGTCGATAACCAGCGCCAATGATGCGAGATGTTTCATTTCTACTAACTGTGATTATCAGGGCATACCCTCTTTACAATGGGAAAGGCTAACAGCAGTAATTGACTTCTATGGGAAGGTGAAGTGAAGACATCACTGTACTAAACAGGTCTTGAAATAACTGAATAGATATTGATTAGAAATTTCCAGAAAATTTTAAAATACTTTACACAGGCTTGAGTAGTAATAGAGTTCACAACTAAGAACCGTATGGTAGCTTAAGGGTACCACAGCAATCGATCGGTCTTCGATGCCATTGATCGACGTAGAGAGACGTCGAATGAACAACGGATAATCAAGCATCTCGATCAACGTCGGGTAATCCATTCTACCATCGATCGACGATCGATCGATTGGTGTGGTAACACTCTAAGCCATGCGGCTGAACCAACTTAGTAATATTTAAAAAAAATCTCGATGGCCATTTGTCTTTCGTAATGCGTAACACAAAGTAGTGGAATTATTTGCCGAGGTCTATCTTTCCGCCTGATTACAACCTAGGTGTTTCTTCAAGACAAAACTGAATATGAACAGGCTTTTGTTTCGTTAAGAATGCGATTTAACATCTAGGGCTTCATTGTCACCAGGTGTGATCGTTGTGGCCAGACCATATTATGGTCACGGCGACCAGTCTTAACGGATACTGGTCATCTGCGCAAGACAGGGTTATGCTGCACGAGGGGGTGCGCAATCACAGATGCACTTTCTATTCCATCGCTGTCGATCTGATTTTGGTGCCGACCCGGAATTCGCACCCGAGATCACTTACGACCACTTGACTAACGAGGCAGTCAAAGTGGGATCGTAGTCAAGCACTGGCTACGAAAAGAAAAAAAAAGTCACCAAAGGAACCATTTAAAAAAAATCGTTTTTTTTTTAATCTCTGAGCTCGAATGTGGGTAGTGTTCTGTGTTCGGCCCTACGATCGCAAATCCCCTTACCATGCGTTGACTACTGGAAGTGTCAGAATCCTGTGACTGTGTGTTGTTTGAAAAACAAATAGACGAACAAAGATATTATAATAAAACTACTAAGTTCATCGACTATAACTACAACTTATATGGAAAATAATTTATGATAAACTAATAATAGCATCATAAATATCTATAAAAAATAAATAATATTTTTAAGTGGATATAACTAGATTTTTTCCCCACGGCCGTTATAGTAGACACGAGTATATTATATTCCGATCATTGAACGCAAATTAATATATAAGCTAACTTCGAAATACCTATATTTACATTGATGGGAATTTGTTCCTTGTTATTTTTTTTTACGTTTACTGACTAGAAACAATAAAAATCAATACAAAAAGAACTCTGTTTGGCAGTCTATATTTGGAGTTAGGTGGGCAAGTTTTCCTTAAATTATTCCAGGAATTATAAAAATCGGGCAGTACTGAAAAAAGCAGGTAGTTTTGCCTTTGAATAAAACATGAGGTAAAGTAATTAAATATTGTGTAGCAGATTTAAGAGAATATCACAATGTTTTATAAAGTATAATAATATGATACACTTTTATTTAATAAATACGACATTGAATCGTTAGCGAATAATACGTAGTATGAAAAATGGTTAAGTGCTATTTCTTGAATATCTGGTTATATGATTGGGACTAGAACGCGTCATTCTTAGCCTTTTAACCTTATTTACAAACATACGTATCCGCTTAACAATCCGGTTTTAATATTATGAACATAAGTAAAAATAATATGTCTACATAACCTCTCTCTAGAAACCTTAATTCCAATTAAAAACATGTTTGTTTTAATAAGGAGGATAATTTAATTCGTTGCGACATGATGCGCATGTATACGAAATCATTAAAATTTGAAATATATAATATTAATAATAAAATATCTACAATAAAAAGTGGATAAATATTACTTACATACTTAAAAATCACTGCTGAAGTTTAATTTTATTATTTCTATGAAGCACTTCACCTTATTTCATAACTTTAAGTGAAACCAATAACACTATAATTAAGTTAACGAACGATATTTACAATAAAATATGCGATAGTCACTCGTTCAATAACTATCCGCGGCCATTAAAATTTTCGTACTGTGTTACCATGTAAAACAATCTGTCAGTAAAATGTGACAGATTTTTTTTAAAATGCCTTTACGGCTCTGCGTTTTAGCCCTTCTGAGAATGTGACAGAATGTACGATACACAACAAAGAGTATAGAATCACTATGTGTGGAACACACGAACCATAGACTTAGGATACGAACAAACCATGAGCGCGATAGGATACGAGATATAGGCTATTATTTATTCTGTTATCTAGGTAAAACAAATATTTTGACTACGACTATTACTTACACAGAAATGGTAATACGTACGCTTACGCCTAGTATTAATATTATTCCTTATTCGTAAGGATATATAATTTATTACAGAACATATAATTTTCAATAAAACTGTACATGTTTTATTGAAAATAATATGTCTCAGTCGTATAATATTTTATTAATGTATTTTATTTAGTAGTTTAGTTTAATATTTTATTTTGTTGCATTGTTTTCAAAATATAATGTTATTTTTAATTCAATTTATTATTGTAAATATTTGTAACACGACCTTTGTCCTTGACCGACGAGTTGACAAGCGAAATTTATTAATGAATTACCTATTTTCTTTAGGTAATTTGTTTTTTGAGTTCTAATTTCATTTTTAGTTTCGTGCATTGCGTCGCGTAATTCGTATGTAGGTGTCATATAAGTACCTAATTTCTCTGCGCGCTTTTGTTTCTGATTGTGATTCAGTTTCAAAATTTTAAACTAAATTTTTAATGTGATATTTTTGTTTTCTGTATAGTTCTTTTCTATGTTTGAACTGTTTTTTTTGTGTAAAGTAGTGTAGAATAGAATAGAATAGAATGACTTTTATTCAATATTGATTATTACATTATACTTATTGAAAGTCATTTTTTTATTTACCACTAGTGTAACATAACATATAGATACATAGATAATAGTTAGGTACTATACATTTCATTTAACAAATTCATTCATGTTTAGTGCTTAAAATTGTATTTATATATAAACTAAATACTAAATCATATTTAATATAACTTTATATATGGTTTTACTAAAAAAAATAACTTTTAAATAAACTTTTCTTTTAACAAAACCTAAATCTAACACATCAATTTTTACTTTTTTTTTAAAATAATAATTGTGTTAATATTAAAGTGTTGTACTCACCTATATATATATATTCAATGTAGGTTGTTACATAATACTTATTGAAAGTTATTTTTTTATTTACCATTGGTTCGGAATATACCTCTGTCCTGAGAAGAACCAGCAAGAAACCCAGCGGGACTTTTTTTTAAACATATTTCACTTTAATTAATAATATTTTTTTATATATAGGATAAGGGTGACAAATGAGCACACAGTCCACGTGATGGTAAGTGGTTGCTGTGGCCCATAGACATCTACATTTATCCACGTTTGCGAATCAAAATGCAGATGGAATGCCTCGTTTCCAGTAAAAGGGGTCTCCAGTTCTCTACACTCATCATACGAAACACAGCAGCGTTAAGCTGCTATTTTACGTTGGTATTCTGTGAGAGCGTGGTCCTTTCCAGTCGAGCCGACCTCCTCATTCCCAGGATTTTTTTTTCATTTATTGTGCTTTGATATTATAATAACCTTTTTGTACTATTTTTCTTTAATAAAACATTTAAACTTGTTTATTGACAAATTTTGTATATTTTCTGGGATTTTGTTGTAAAAGCGTATACATATTAAATGAATTAATAATTCTGTGGAGCCTATTAACTGCTATTGCAAGTTTATGTTTGTTCCTAGTGTTTAAAGTATGAACATCTTTATTCTTATCAAAGCTATTTATGTTTTTATGTACATACATTACATTTACGTAAATATATTGCGATGCCAAAGTTATATTTTTATTTCTTTATATTTTACTCTAAGGGACTCATTGCAATTTAAGTTATAAATAAAGTTAAGTTATAATACTATATATTAAGTTATAAAAGAGGGCCGCCTCTTTTGCAAAACAAATATGGCTTCGATGTCAGTCGCATTACCCTATAGCAAAATTGCATAATACATCACGCTATGAAAGTAACTACAATAAACTAATCTAGCTGTCTCAACAATGGCGAGACTTATAATCTTTGGTCTGCCTGCTAATTTAGATATATGGGGGCTCCATTGAAGCTTCGCGTCAATAGTAATATTAAGAAAAACAGTGGTATCCACAAGACTCAACTCTTTCCAATTTAAGAGCACATTGATATTTGAATGTTTAACAAAATATATTTAGTGTTATAGCCGTTTAAGAGCAAAATATTGGCGTTAACCTAATTTGGTGCCCAAGGATACAGATGCACTCTCTATTCTCTCAATCTCGGTATGTTAAGACTCTCACTCATTCATGGATACCGCGATATATGCAACTTAATCTCTCAGATCTATTGATCCGCGCAGATATTACTTAACCACGAATTGCTCTTTTCTACGACTAACGCTGTAGGCGATGAGCCACGTTATTTAAGCCCTCGGCATAATGTCGTCGGCCATCAAGAATGAATCGGGCATCGAGCGTTGTGTGTATCAAATACTATGGAATTTATACTATCCTGGCACATTGAACCGCGCGTCTCATGCGCGGGCGTGTAGTGGCGCTTCCAAGAGTATTACTAAATATATTATATCTAACTACGCTAAAAGTTTTATCATTGTGACTTGGGAATATAATCCGAAGTTCCGCGCAACCCCTAGGGGAAAATAAAGTGATGCTATGAATATTGCACTAGTGTGACCCTGAGGTGCGGGTGGTGAAGTAAGGTTATACATTTTTTTTGGTTGATAAATAGATACTTAGATGGGTTCATAATGGCGCAAATAGGAAAATCTCAAGATTTTTTATCTTTAATGTACTACAATTTTATAATGTATAAAAATCTGTCTCTATTTTTATCCTATAATTTGAAAGTTAAATTTTTGAAGTCTTATTATAATGTTTATCTTTTTATCTTTTATCTTTTACCGGCTAGAATTATTGTTCTTAAGTTCATATTGCTTATAAGTGAAAACTTTGAAATGGCCTTCTAGTTGTTATTCATTTATTTATTGTTAATGTTAGCTGTAAATTATCCAAAAAGAATAAAATAAAATAAAATAACAATATTATAGGTTAGCACACTCAATTGCACTGTACCAGTTTATCAGCACCTTGACCAAAAAATTAAAATATACCTTGTTTATGATTTATAAGTTGCCAAGTGCAAAATCATTTTAAGCTGTTCTTACATTTTAATACTAGCTACGGTACGCAATGCTAACATTTCAAAATGGCGTTACATTATTAGCAATATAGCTCAGAAAATTTAAAAAATGCTTTGGAAGCAGTTACGAAGGGAATGTCCAAAGAACTAGCTTCTAGAACATTCAACGTACTGAGGGGAACCATACAATCTCGGCTTCGAAAGGGAACTTGCAAGGATCTTCAAGGTCCCAGTCTTATATTGTCTCATGATGAAGAAGACACCCTAGTAAAGTGGATAGAAGAATGCTGACGAAAAGGCTTCCCAAAAAGGAAGATAGACTTACAACTAAGCGTAGCAAATTTCAAAAAAAAGTCGGGTCGTAAAACTCCCTTTCAAAATGGCATACCAGGTAAAAAGTGGTATGAGCTATTTATGCGTCGACATCCAGAATTTATTGAAAGAACACCTGAAACCGTAACATCTGCTAGTGCCCTTATTTCAGAACAGGACATCAAAGGCTGGTTTTCAAGAATAGAAAAATACTTAAAAGAAAACGGTTTTTATGAGATTCTGTCCGATCAAATCGAGTTTTTAACGGTGATAAATCTAATTTCCAGCTATGACCAAAAAGTGGCAAAGTATTGCGTTAAGAGGCGAAAAAGACGTCTATGAAGTGGATCATGCGGCTACAAAATCAGTTTTGACAGTTTTATTTACCTTTGGAGCTAATGGAGACATCACGCCTCCTCTTGTGATCTTTCCAAACAAAAGACTTCCAAAAGACATAACATTGACAGTTCCTCGTGAATGGGGTATAGGCTTAAGCGATTCAGGTTGGATTAAAGCTGAACTTTTTCATGACTACATTAAAAACGTTTTCCATCCTTATCTTCTACAAACACAAAGCAAATTCCCTGTTATTTTGTTTGTGGATGGTCACAAAACTCATCTTAGTCTTGACATCAGTGAGCTATGCAAAAGTCTCAGTATTGTGCTTATAGCGCTCTACCCAAATGCCACAAGATTGTTGCAACCAGCAGATGTCGCAGCTTTTAGACCCCTCAAGCTGGCATGGAAAGCTAGTGTTTTGCAATGGGGAAGAGATTACCCGATAGAGACACTTACAAAAAACAATTTTGTGCCAGTAGGTACTAAAAAACGCATTAGAAAATGGAATAAAACCATCCACAGTAATAAACGGCTTTAGAACAACAGGGTTCTGTCCTTGGAATGCTGATACTGTCTATTATAAAAAATGCTTGGGAAAAGGTTTACAAGATAAAATAAACACAAATACAGCGTCGCATTCACCATTTAATGACCCGGGGAATGCCATGACTAAAAATATTTTTCACGAATTGATTGGAGAACAAAAAATGCTTGCATTACAAAATATGTCCCTAGACAGTCTTTCAGATGGTGACAAAATCTTAAAACAAATCTGCAAATTTTTCAGTAATTACCTGAATGAAAATGTGACTGCAACAGTTCAAAAGACTTTAAAAGACCATATTCAATATAATTCAAAGACCGTAACTTTAAAAAATAAAAACATGACATCGGTACAAACAAATGATGAAAGTAGTACTCCGTTTTTGCCGTGCATAGATCATGTCGACAATGATTCTCAAGTCCAAGAACCTGCTTTTTTAGTGTCCCACGTAGTTGAAATTCATAACCAACTAGCTACAACACGCAGATCTGAAAATAATGAAAACATATCGCATTATGAGAAATCTCCGACTAAAAATAATAACGCGAGATTCCCAGTAGAAGAAACTAAAGTGAGCACGTATAAACAGACAAGTACTGAAA